AATGGCCATAATTCCAGTTTCAGTATCAGTTTCAGAAGACACGAAACTCTGGGCTGTTGCAGGATTACCCTAACTCTTAGTGCCCAACAACAAATTCCATCGAAATTTTGTTGGTCTTAGTCTAATGACTTAACATATTAAAGAAGTTTCAGTCTGCGCCGTACCAATTACTTTGGCTTAATAGAAACTTGATTTGACAAATGCCCAGCACAGAGTGAGAGGGAGACCGATAGAGAGGCAGAGAGAGAGAGAGAGAGAGAGAGAGCGCAAGAGAGGGAGAGTGTATGTTTCCTACAAATTGATGGCCATAGGATTAACAAAATGCTTTTAATGTGCTAAATGAAATTAATAAAGTGCTAAAAGTTTTTGAGCCGCAAAAGTCTTGGCCCCAAGCATTAGTGAATAGCACACACACACTTTGCATGGGGGCGCTGTGGGCGTGGCATGTGAAGCATTAACAAACGTTTTCATAATAATTACTGTATTATTATCTTTATTGAACGCAAACAGCACACACACACACACACACACACACACACAGCTAAACCCCGCTGGGGTGACTTTCTAATTGAGTGTTTAGCACAATTTTGATAATAATTAATATTTATGCCTTTTCCTTTTCGGGCCATTTTGATGGACTTCCTAGGCCAAGTCGACTTTTGAACTCCCTTTAAGCTGCTGCATAGCCGGCCTCAATTTGTTAGGGAAACATTCAATTGGGCATTAAGGCTATGGCGTATGCCATGCTGTCCAGTTACGCCTCCAACTCCAACTCCCGCCATCTTGCTATCCCTCTTAGCCTAGGCCAAATGGAGCGTACGAGCTGCAGGTTCAGCGCTCATTAGGCGCTGCAAAAGCAAAAGCAGGAGCAAAGAATTCCCTGCAAATCCGTTCAAAATAAAGACCCAAGTCAAATGCGATGGACTGAGCCCTTTTTATGCTTACCCTAGAGCAAAATACTACGTGCATGTGGGTATATCTGTTGTGTGCCAACTACATATACATACATACATATTCATACTCTCTTTTCAATTCATAGCTGTGGAGCACACTGATATAATTCATAGGTAAGCCCAGATGGGCACTTCCTATATTACTCACACTTTTCTCAGACTTAATCATTTCACAGGGTATTGCATCGTCGATCTCTTGCACTGACCGTTCATCAAGTTGTTTTCCTTTCACTTTGCAACTGATTTATTTGATTTGATAGGTCTTGACGCAAATGTGTTTCATTTACCTACTCACAAAACGCTTTCGGGGGGAGGGCGTGACAAGGGGGCTGGGCCGGGGCTGGTCTGGCCCGTGGGGGTGGCTAGGTCAGTCTAGGAGCAAGTCTGTCTGTCTTTCTGTTTGTCTGTCTGTCTGGCCGTGCCTTTAAGTTGTTTGCCAACAATTTGAAACCAGCGTTCGGGGCTGAAAGGGTCAGAAGGGGTTTTTTCGGTCACTCGATACGGCGCTCATTAAATTTCTTGTTTTTTCTTCCTCTTCTCTAATGCATAGCCTTTATATTGATTAAAGTGATTTGGAGGGTGTCTGTGGGCATTGCATAATGTATCGAATACAGTATCATTTATCTGTCCTCTACTTGTTATTCGAGCTAAGATCTAAGGCTAAGGCTTGCGGTAAACCAAATTCGAACCGCGAAGTGAATTATCCAAGTTGGGTCATTTGGCTCTGAGCTTCGTAAACACGTTTAACGACGTATGGACCACAAATGATTGGTTCAATCTATTAAGACAAAGGCAAAGTTTCCTCAAGTTACTCTTCGCACTAAGAGCGTAGTTTGAGTTAGTTCATAAACATGGCCCCTGCCCACATATCTCACTAGAGCATACCCCATCCGAAATTGCTATTAACTGTCGACTTTCATATTCACCGATTATCATTAAATCGGCGTCAACTGAAAAGCTTTGAAACACTGAAAATTCCATGCCTTATTAAGGAGACAGTAATAAGGCATCCCCATCCGCTGCCTTCAAATATTTCGCCGAACTAATTAGCGTTGATTATGATAGTTTAATTGGCGAATTAATTGGGAAGATTTGGCTTGAAGAGATTTCTAAGGAAGGAGGGTAAGCGATATTAATATGGAGAGGGTTGAGAAGAAGTACAGATGGTGTGCGAGGAAGAAATTCATATTGATAGAGAGTGACAGTTAGAGAGATAGATATAGAATGAAATGAGAATGAGAGAACGTATAGAGATATGATACGGACATTAAGAGACTCGGCGGGAAAGAGAGAGCGACATAAACAATCGTTATCGCAGTCGCTATCGATATATAAACACTTTAATCTGCTTTAACTTAGACTTAAATCTTTTCCATGTTACAGAAGGCAGTTGTCAATCCCTTATCGTTATCGTTATCGATATATATTGAGATGACTTTGATTGATTGTTGGCAACTGCTGCACATACTAAACCAGCTGAATATCCCATTCCAGCACTGCGATCTCTACAACTTTACGAGCTGTTGCTGTTTATGTTCCCTGTTTTCCCTCCCCCTTTCCCACTCTCCATGCCCCCTCTGGCTGTTCGCTTTCGTGCTTTCTGTTTCTGTTTTCTGTTCTCTCCTTCTTTTGCTTAACTTGACATTTATCGCTTTATACGCATTTCCTTTTGCCTGCCTGTCGGACTGCCTGTCACTCGGCTTGTCCGCTCACATCTCTCGCCCCACCCCGCCCCGCCCCCGCCCCCACCGCCATGCCGCCTGCCTGTTAGTTTGACATGTTTGTTATGTTTATAGCACGATATATTTACCAAACTTAATTGGTAGTTATAGACGTTCTATATAAAATGCCAAGAAAATAAAATACGAGAGTTTAGGGTGGTCCAGCAAAGGGCGCAAAGGGCAGGGCGTAAGCTGAATTAAAGGCTGGACCTTTAAAGCAATTGTATGTAGAACGAAAATACAGTAAAAACTAAGAAATACGAGAACTATCGACCGCTCGATATATCAATTTAAGTTCATAGAAATCTGTGTTGGGAATTTAAGATTAAAAATTTAACTAATTTCTGTGCTGCTCTTAAACTGTTTACTTAAGCTATTAATTTGCAGACATACACTGTTATCGACATAAGCGAAACACATATTTATCGATGTATATCGATAGCTGCTTTAATGACAATTCAATGCACACATTTTCAAGCAGCTCACATTCAGGACATTCAGTTATTAGCAATACCCAAATTCAACTGCACTTGGCTCTAAAGCCACGCCCACTCTATAAACGCCCACTGCAACAGCCTCCCTCCCCCTGACAATATCCGGCCATACCTCTCCCCCGCACTTGCTCCCGTGCCCCTAGATACCTTGTCTACGAATAGACTCCAGAGGCTGGCAAATGATTGTCATTGTCCGTTTTATGTTTCATTGTGTTGCCTGCGGCTGAAGCAGGGAGCTGCTTTGTGTGTATGTGTGTGTGTGTGTGTGTGTGTGTGTGTGTATGTGTTGTGTGTCTTGTGAGCTGCTGTTATTTGTATTCGTATTAGTTTTTGTGTTTATGGCTTTTCTTTTGCAGCGGCGCTTTAATTGATGCGCCTCCTTCATGTAATCATAAATCTCAACTCGCTCTGCCCCATCTCTGTCTCCGTCTCTTTCTCGCCCTTCATCTCACTAACAACAATAAAAATCAAATCAAATTTAATACAAAATTAAATAAATTGTGTTTTGGCTGCGACGGGCCTTAACTGCTGTTGTGCCTGCTGCGCTGCCATTTGTTTTGTAGTTTTTTATCAGATACCCTGTAAATTTGACAAGCATAACGGCTAGCTGGATGCACATCAAGCTGCAGCAGACGCAGCGAAATAGTCAAATATAATGAGAGAGAGAGAGAGAAAGAGAAAGAGAGAGAGAGAGCGCGGAGAATTACAGGGTATATGGACAGCCTTTACTCCCATAAGCGCTTCACTCAACCTGCAGTCCTTAATTTTGAGGTCAATTCAATCCGAAAATCAATTCGCATATTCTACTGCTTTTTTGTGGACTTTGCAGGGTATCAGGCTAGTCCGTCATTGCTGTCTTTTCTTATATATTGTTGTGGCAAGTTGTGTAGCCGCAGCTGGCACGCAAAAATTTCAACTTTTGGCCAAGTCTTCGCCAGTGTCTTCCACTCTCTCGCTCTCCCCTTCTGCCCCTCCCTCCCACTCCATCGCCATCTGTATCTTATTTAATTTGGCTGACTGAGAAGCGCGTAGAGAGGCGAGAGATGCCGCCGCCGCATGTTCGTTGACTTTATTTGCTGTGTGTAATAAAATTAAAGCCCTTTAGCTATTGTACTTTCACAAAACCCAAAAAAAAAAAAAGAAGAGAATAAAAATGCAAAAGAACAAATTGTAAGACGCGGCTGGCAGGAGGACAGGGGGCGTGGCTCTGCGTCGACAGGCAGCAGTCAGCAGTGAGCAGTCGGCAGTCGGCAGCCGGCAGCCGGCAGTCGTCAGGCAGTGCGAGCCAACGAGCCATGAATGTTGCTCTTAGTTTTGTGGATGTGGCCATTAAGTTGGCCTTTTTATAGTCCTAGTTACATGCCTGCCAGGCATACACGCAGCCACGCAGCCACGCAGCCACGCAGCTACGCTGCCACGCGAAGGACGCAAGGGCGAAGGCGGTGTGGACTTTAGTCTGCAACATATTGAGAATATTCGCGCTGTTGTTTAGCTAGTTTATATCGCATTAGATCTGCGACGCTTGCTAATGAACTTCGGCTCAGCTCCGGAAAGTTGTTCTCCTTTAAAATATGCAGTCCCAGTTTCCAATTAGAAATGCCAGATAGTCTATTTTCCGATTGGATATGTCACACAAATGCAAATAATTACCATAGTTGAGGCAACAGTTTACTCAGTTGCAAATCTACACTTATCGATAATTATCGATCTATCGATTATCGATAATATTTTTCTCCTGTTCATTCCAGCATCGGTCTAAAAGGCCAAGCTCAAATGTCTCTATGCAAAACTTATCGATAGTCATCGATTAATATCAAACTGAAGCTACTCACCTCCACAGTGGTCCTTGAAGTCGTCACAGCAATCGCCCAGCTTGAGACAGGCGTGATCGCAATAGCACGGCTTATCGCTCAGATCCTCGATAATCGCATTCACCGGCGCCTTCTGAACCACGCACGACGAGTCGCGTCCGTTGCAACAGAGTTGAGCCTCGCGGCACGAGCCGCCAGCCGCCAGAGGCAACAGCAGCGACAGCCAAACAACTCCGCCAAGCAGCGCCCATTTCGGTTGAGGGGCGTGGCAGATGGCGATAAACGAATTCGGAGACATTTTCAGCTTAAATTGGTTGCAATCAAAACTGTTTCGATAACCGATAACAATAGTTCCCTATAGAAGTGTGAACAGATTTCATCAATACGTCATGCACGACTGGCTATGTGTGTGTGTGTGTAGGGACAATACGAATAGAAGTGTGGGTGTGGCTGTGCAGTGTGTGCAAATGCAATTTACGCCCAAAAGCGGAAATTAAAACTAAAATTGAATTATGACAATTGTATGCCAGCATGGCATTCAAGAGAGAAAGAGAGAGAGAGAGAGAGAGAGAGAGAGAGAGAGAATGAGAGAGCGAAGAGTGTAACTATCAATAAATCGCAGAGGGGAAATGGGAATTTGGGAGCAGATTCCATCTATGGCAAAGGGGTGCGACGGGGACTTTACGACTTACCAAAACAATGCCATGTAAGGCTTTAAACCTATTTAATATTACAATGCGATATATATCGATAATAAGAGAACAGTAGTCAGAGACTTAGAATCATATGTTCAATAGATATATATATATATATATATATATATATATATATATATATATATATATATATATATATATATATATATATATATATATCGATATAATAATAAAAGACTAATCGATAAACGATAGGCTGGCTAATCTATATAGCACTTTAATATTAATCAACTCTTGCCTAGAAAATTGTGCCTATTGAAATGCTAATCAATTCCCAAATGGGCAACCAAAAACTAGAACTATTTTGCATAAAATACTGAAGCAGATGGCAACAAAGGAGTCAACGGAGAAGAAGAAACTGTAGACAAAGGTGCATCGATGCTGTGGCAGGTGTGGAGCAGCGGGCAAGGTGTAATAAAAAGGCAAAAAAAAAAAAAAAAAACAATTTCAATTTTCATAAATCGTTGCCGAAATCGTTAAGATATTATGATAATATATGAGCTGCCATGACAAGCTGACGAAATCAATGGACCGAAAGGAGGCAACTGATTGCCATCAAGAGAGTCTCACAAATGATGGAAGTATCTGCAGCATATTCACTTAAAAAGCAAGGACTTCACTTTATTAATCCTATCTATCTATATCTTATCACTATATCTTCTTATAGAGTGATAGAGGGATGGATATCTGAAATTTCATTCATCCAATCATATGGATACTACAAGTTGAGTTCGAAAGGAAACTATCATCGCAGAGGAACTTTGATGCAGCCAGCCTTAACTCCTCCCAGTCATCTCTTTGTGGAGGAACATTTTGCTCATCCAGCTATATCAAATTCAGCTCAAGAGACGAGCCTAAAGGCAAAGCGATTGAGCACTCAAGTCTGAATATGGCTGAGAAAGACACACATACATACGCATATATATACATGTTCACATAAATGTGAATCAATTTGCATTAGAAAGCGATCTCTCATTTGAATTTTACAATAAAAAAGACAAAATTGCATTCGATTAAAAACTAATTTTCGATTTGTATGCGCCAGGTGAAGCGAACCAGGAGCTGTGGCCAAAAAACTCAAATGGTCTGAGCTGAAAATGCACAGCCCAAAGTATATGCGAACTTATATCTGTTAACAGTGGTAAACCTGTCCAATTTTGCATGATTAACAATTTCATTAAAAACTTAAATGATAATCCATTACCACAACAAAGAGGACTGCAGCCAATCAGAGCATTATTATATATCACTCACATTATTGGTATAGTACACGCAATTTATGCAATTGCGACTCACTCATAAATCGTCTATCATAAATCACTCAACAAATGAGATCACTGAGTCAAAAGGAACGGCTCTAACACTCCCACGAATTACTCAATTCAGTGCACTCGCACGCAGACAGAGACGCTGAAGGCAAACAAAAGGAACGAAAAAATCACTCAGCTCTGGCAGGGCGAAATTAATTTTGAACAACGCTTCGATCACACACAGACAATTGGGTGGGCGACAAAAAATGCACTGAAAACGGTTGGCGAAACACGCGCAGCATTTGGCAGGTGCCGTTATTAAATTTACCGCAAAATGCCTAAAAATAGGCAGCAAGGAAATACACAGAATTTAAAGCGGGCCATCGAAAAGGGAGAAACGAGACAACAATAACAACACCAATAACGACGGCACGCACACAGACAAAGCAAACTAAATTTCCGCAATTTTTTTGAAGAGTGTTACTGTGTGGTATTTGTAGGTCTGTGTGTGTGTGTGTGTGTTAGCCAGGCGACATAAATGTGCTTAAATGATTAATAACTTTTGTCACTCCTTTCTCACACGCGCGAGTATCGCTCACTGCGGCGCGGTTTCAGTTTCACTTATAAAAAAAAAAAAAAAAAAAAAAAAGAGTATCAACAACAACAATGAAGAGCAGCTGGTGTAAAAGTCTAATAAGCGCCCTTTCTTGTTGGCTCCACACGTGTGTTTTGCTTACGTTATTTACGCTATTTTCGAGAGCTAACTGTTAACTGTTACGTTGCGGAAAGCGCACGACAAGTGCGAACACTGCGAAAGCCGGTCGACGACTGTGCCAGTTGCTCTGCTGCGTGGTGAGTTATAAAGCAACACAAAACAGTGTCGCCTGTCGGCAGTCGGCAGTCGCTCGTGTTTAGCCACTCAACCGCTCGGCTCGGCAGGCTCGAATCGTTGCACCCCGCCTCGGCCCGTCTCGCTTCCACTCGCCATGTCTCGCTTCGCTTCGCCTCGCCGCGTCTCTCGCATCGTCTCGCCTACTCTTTCATGGCGTCCCGTTTGAGTCGCTGTGTGGCTGAGCCGCTGCTTGACACGTGCAAAGCGCTTTGATTTGTTTGTTTTGAGTGGGCTTTGCTCACTGCACGGCAAGGAGAGGAGAGAGGACGGTACGCAAAGGCGCAGGCAAAAAAGCCGGCATAACGTCGTTACACTTGCATTTCCCCCAAAAAAACAACACACACATACACTCACACACACACAAAACAAACAAAAAACAGAAGAAAAAAATTAAATTGAAATAAAAGAAAACAATATAAAAAGAATTACACTCTGTGGTGAGTTTTTAAATACGCCGCAGGCCAACAGACAATAGCAATATTTACTCTAAAAGCCATTCAAAGCGGAGTGTTTAAATCAATGTTATCGCAATCACATACACACATACACACACACAGAGGCATAGATGCACGCATATTTGTTTCAAATTATATTAAAAAAGTTGAGCGAGACAACAATCACTTTAACAACTCTTCTATTGCTTCGCTCCCTCAGTCAGCTTGCTCTTGTGCGCTTACTTGTGATCGTTGTTGTTGTCTCTGTCTTTCTCTTTTAGTGTGTCAGCGCGTTAGGCTTAACGACAGCCATTACGATTGCCAGCTAACGGTACCTTCAGCCCATTGGATTGCAATACAATGATTGGCTCTCTGTTTCTCTCGTTCTGTAGCTCTTTAGGCAAGCGTCATTTAAATTACACATTTTATTTCTCGATATAACTGTCTCTTTTCCTCACGTTATCTTGCAGTATTGCAACTTATGATCGGCCATAACGAATTGTCTTGAAAAGCAACAGCCTGATTTGTACGCTTTATCTTTTTCTCTCTCACTCTTTCACGGCAAATCGGCAGAACTCGTTTCGTCTCATTAGCTCGTTTATTGATCTTTTTGATTTTTAATCTAAGCAACCTTTTTTCATACCTCTTTAAGAATATTGTCGATCATACGATATATCGAAGCAGGCGTATTTTCAGGCGAAATTTTTTTATACATCTAGTTAGCTTTTGGGGCGAGCCCAGGCTGATACCCCAAGCCCGATTTCATATTATATTCATTCCGTATCTGGCTCTCAAACAAACAACATCCAAAATTCAAAATTGAAAAATTCGGAAAAATAAACAAAATTATAATATTTGTAAAAATGCTGTGAAAAAGCATTATTTGGGAACAAACAAAATTACCTCGTTTTTTTGTTATTTTTGGTTTCGTATCTCTTTAAAAATCAAACGATATATCGAAGCAGGCGAAATTTTTTTGTAAATCTAGTTAGCTTTTGGGGCGAGCCCAGGCTGATACCCCAAGCCTGATTTCATATTATATTCATTCTGTATCTGGCTCTCTAACAAACAACATCCAAAATTCAAAAATGAAAAATTCGGAAAAAAAATAAAATTATAATATTAGTAAAAATGCTGTGAAAAAGCATTATTTGGGAACAAACCAAATTTTGTAGTTTCGTGGAAAAAAAAAATTTTCGAAAATGTGAAAAATTTGTTTTGTTTTCGTTTCAAAATCTAAACGCGAAAAATTCATTTCGGAAAATTTTAGGCTTTTAAAATATGCAAACATGAAGCGAAAAAAAAAAATACGGGAAAGCAAAAATAAGGTAAGGTCTTGTGCCTTCTGTGTATAATAGGCCAGTCCAACTAAACTAAGGCTTTGCCATTGCAGAAAAATGTCTCAAAAAATATTAACATAAATTTAAAAAAGCAAAAATGTTGAAAAATAGCAGTAGAAAACGCAATATTAAAAATACATATTAGACTTGAATCATATATCATCTCGAATCCATCTGATTGAAGTTAACACGCATCAGTTGCGCAGCTACAGTCCGAATTTTAAACTGAACACCTTTTCCACACGACTTTCGGAAACAAAAGTAACGGAACATTGGAAACTATGAAACTCGGATGAAGCAAAAATACACGCACATACTCAATCAATAATTACCTGCAGTGACCTACAATGACTTACCAATATTTACCGGACTTACCAATAATCAAGAATCACGAATCACCTTACAAACCGCACATGCCCCACGGGTAATTCGCCTAACACGTGACGGCGCGCAAGTACGCGCGACCGATTCTCGTGAGCTATGCGAATTTGCCATCATGGATCATATGTATAAAAAAAAAAAAAAAAAAAGAAGGTAAGCTCAAAGCGCCAGCTGCAATTCAATATTCTATAGATTCTATATCCTTAATTGAATTCTATGCGTTCTAATTACAGTTAATCGGCCAATGCGATTTCAAGCTTACGGTACCGCGACCGCACCACCTGAACCAGACATTACCATTCCACTACGCGTCGCCACATATCCATACCACCTATACTATAAAATCGTCTTAGGTTGGGAATACGCAAATATTTTGGAACGGTTAATGTTGCTTGAAGCACACTATAGAGATCATTCTACTAATCGCACATACAACGCCACACTTTACCACGCCACACCATACCTCACCACACCGCACCACACGGTCGTCGCGCAGGATAGCGTTCTTGAAAGCGAGGTTGGCCTATCCGGTTTGCTGCACTAGTCAATCGTATGAAATATATGCTTAACTTTCAAATATATATATCCTACACTGTGAATGCATGCAAAGAACGTAAACTGTAGTTTTCATTTCCACAGGGTGGGGTGGGAGTGGGTGAGTGGGTGAGAGGTGGGGTAAGTGCCTAGTGCAATAATTAGTGCAGCTTCAGGCTCTGTCAATGTCTAAAAGGACTTTCACATGCATGGTGTCTGGAGGGCTAGGGAGCGTGGGTCACTAGAGAAGTTGTGAGCGAGTGTGAGAGGGGATGGAGAAAGAGAACGGATTGGAGAGTCAAGTAGTAAAGGAGCGGAGGCTCAACAGAGGCAGGACAGGATTGAGTTTAGAGAGAATGAAAAACAAGATTTTGTAAGGTTTATGAAATGAACTGACGTGCTGCTCTCGGCTGTGCTGATGGAGCGACCCTCGCTAGAGATTTACCCACTTGCACTTGGCATCAGCTCTATTCGGGCATCGGCCGTTTGGGGCGCTGAGTGCTCGGCGTGGGCGTGGCATATGGCGACAAGCCTGGCAATGGGCAGACAATGGGTTAAGTTGACACAGTTGCATGGCCAGCGAGACGGACGGTTGACTAATGGGGGATAGGATAAAGGAGAGGGGAGAGGGGAGAGAGGAGAGTGGAGAGTGGAGAGTCGAGAGGGTAAAGGAAGCGAGTGACATTTATGCTGACACCAAAAATCATCATCATCAGCAACAACAACAGCAGCTACAAAAGAGGTGAGCCACGCCCCCACTCACGCAACGCCCAACTGGTGGTGATGCTGCTGCTGCCTCTGCTGCTTGGCAACTTGACTCGCAAATATTTGCCAGCTAGGCAAACTTGTGGGTCGCAGCTCTGCTCTCGGCAGGGGGCAGGAGGCACGAAGCAGGAGGCAGGAGGCAGGAGGCGGTAGGAGGAGCCGTGGCAGCAGAGAGGTGTCGCATGCGTTGTGTTTCCGCTCCAGATCATAAACAAAGCGAAAGCGAGTGCCAATACGAGTTATGCACATTTCATGTTTCATGCTCCCAGTTCCATGTTCCATTCCCGCCCGTTCCGCCCGCGACACCTGACTAACAGCGTCGGAACGCCCGCTGGCAGTTGCCGTCACATACGTTTGGGCTGCCAGCTCTGCTTCAAGTTGTTGTTGTTTCCGTCCCCAGCTCTGACTGCCAGGCAGGGTGTATGCGACTAGCAGATACCCCCTAATCTCAAATGGGTGGTAAAGGGCGCTAAGGAAGCGCAAGAGAAAGGGAAAGGCATGAGCTCGAATACCGGATTCAATATAAATGCCCTGAAGCGGCAACAGAGTACACTCAACTAGGAAATACCCTGTAAGCCAAGACACAAGTTCAATTAAGCTTAAGCAGTCATCTCAAATGACACGGGCATATTTCAATACTACAATTGCACATAGATATCTCTCCAGGAACCAAGGGTATACCCAACTTTGAATACCCTGTAGGCAGCGACAACATACCTCTTCATTCGATAAGCCCATCGGAAACAGGGCATACCCGATTCGAATATACCCTGTGAACTAATTGCTTGACTTCTATTGCTAATTGCAATGCGAATACACCTCATTTCAGTATGTTTACAGGGTATTTAGCAACTGGCCAGTGGCTACATTTTGGCAACTAATTGAAATGCCCTCGTTTTGCACACAAAAACAACTGACTTGAAATGCAGACAAAGCGAAAGTGTGAACAAGAGAAAGGAATAGACAGGAGAGAGAGAGAGAGAGAGAGAAAGAGATGATGCATTAAATATATGTGACCTGCAACATTTTTTGCGACACAATTTTCATCATTTTCACCTTTGTTTTCACGTGCTAAAAAAATCTGCTCGAAAAGCAGTTTGTTTTAGTTGTCCACAAATTGGTTTTTCATATTTTTCTTAGAGCTTCAAGCGAAACTGGCTTCAATTTATTTGATAATGGAATTTAAATCAAGCACAAATGCCCAACTACAAATGTAAAGGAAACAACTGTAAATTAATAGAGGCCAAATGCAATGCAAACAAAATGTTGCACAAACATATTGATGATGGATTGATGGATGAATGATAGATTTCAATTTCGGATTCGTGGACTTCTTACAGGGTATTCTGGATTGTGCACTCTCTCACCTCTCACCTACATGTGTATCTGGAAGCCTGAGACTCGCAAATGGTGAGCTGAAACATAAACGAAAATCATCATCACAGAGCTTAACAGGGTATACATATATCCACTAAGCTCAGTCAACCCTCATATATATTTTTGCAGGGTATTTCAAATCAATCGTATAGTTCATATGAATTTCTCGCACTTTACAGGGTATATGCATATGCATTAATTACTTCATTGATTGACTGTATATGTCGATCGACTTTTTACAGGGTATTTGCGAGTCAGTCATGTTTCAATTCAAGCATAAGTTCACTAACATTTTCTAGGGTATGCACGACTCTTGATTGCACTAATGAGCGTGCCGGGCCACAGTTCAGCCAAATGGGGGCGGCAAATAGCATGCGTTTGGGGGGGCGTGACAGCTAAAGAAATTCCGAATTTCAGAAAATCGTAAAAAAAAAAAAACATTTTTATTTCACTAAATTGAAAAATGTATAAATATAACAACAAAATTCAGATGAGAGATGAGTGTGTGACTGATGCGTATGTGTATGCTTGTGTGTGTGTGTGTGTGTGTATACGTGTGTGTGTGTGTGTAGGCCAACTGTTGAGTCTGAGCCAAATGCCGCTGCCGTTGACGACAAATTCGACAGTTGCAATTCGTGTGCCGCGACTCGAACAACGCGAAACCAAAACCAAAATAAATTTATAATTTCATTGCTGTTGCTGTTGTTGCTGTTGTTGTTGTTGTTGTTGTTGATGCTAAATGTTGTTGTCGCTGTCGACGTTTGTTGCCTTTATCATTCGCGCCCATTTAAATGGCCGTAATCAAATGACAACTTGTTAAACACATCGATTAAAAACGCAACCCCAGAAATCTTTCACGAAATCACCAAACAAAATAATTTATCAATTAAACGCAATTTCCACGTTAATCACTGCTTGCCGCAGTGGAGAGAAAGCGGCGAGAATAACCAAAAAAAAATAAAACAACAAACAAACAATCGAAATGCCAGCAAGAAAAAAAGTAAACATGATTGCCAGAGTATTACAGGGTATACGCATTGGGGCTGTGGCATGACTTCCAGTGGGGAGGGAGGAGGGGGTTAGGGAAGGCATAATTAAAAATTAATTTAATACAGAATAAATATGTGCATATGACATGTGAGCGGCTGTGTGTATGTGTGCGAGAGAGAGGGAGAGAGAGAGAGTGAGAGAGAGCAACGTGTGCGAGCATTTTAATGTCTGTACCCAAATGAAAAGAAAAATACCAAATATAAAATTTGTGTTTCGTTTTTTTTTTTTTTGTTTTATTTATTTTTTTTATAATTAAAATTTGTATATAAACTTTCTATTTATTTATTTTTATTGTTGATTATATTTCTACAAATTAAAATATATTTTGCATATATTAAAGGGGAAGCATTCAAAGCCCACAAATCGTGCCACACTTTTGTGGAATGCCCCAAATTCGCATTGGGGCGCGCCAGAGGCAGCGGAGGGCGTGCCGAGGTGGGGTGCTACTGGGGTGCGTTCTCTAGCCATCTATCTTTAGAGCGCGCCATGTCTCAGCCGACGCGACCTATAAATAAACGCCATATACAACCGAAATATGCGTCGCTCGATCGTCTCTAGCTGCTCTAATAAAATTCTGTATTGCTTCACTCTTCTTCTTACTGCCTGTTTACAGTTTTATTCCGAGGAATAAATACAAATTGTTTTCGAAATAAGTCAATTTCAATGAGTTATGCATTGCAGGAGCGAAACAAATGCAAAATGTACTAAATCATAGGACGGAGGAGCAGAAAACAAATTTGCAATCAGAAATGGTCGAAGCAGTTATAATGAGTAATGCTAATGAATGATGAATGATAGATAGTGAATGATAGGTTCGAATAGGGAATGCTAATAAGTAATACAAGTGAATAATGAATGGTGGAAATTGAACGAAAGTCAAGATAATGAGTGATGAATGATTGAGAACTAATGATAATGACTAATGAATGATGAAATGGATGACTAAAGAGTAATGAATAGTAATGACTGATGACAACAATAATGAATGATGTCAATAACAATAATAATGCATGTTGATAATGGTAATAAATGATGCTAATGAGTAATGATAATGAATGATGATGGTAGGAAATGAATGAAAGTCATGATAATAAGTGATGCATGACTGAGGAGTGATGATAATGATAAAAATGAAAGAAGGATAACGATAATATATGATAATAATGATAATGAATATGATTATAATTATAATAATAATGTATGATGAATGATGATAATAATTATGAGTGATAATGTTGTAATTATATTCAAAAGTGATAAACATAATGAGGCATGCATAATGCATGATGAATTGGGATATTTGTCATAATTATCGCAAGTGATAATGATAATGAATGATGATAACAATACGAATAAGACCAGAGGGGCGAAAGGGAAGGCAGACAGAGACTGACAGATACAGATAAAGTTAATGATAATCACATCAAGTTGAGTTCAGTGAGAGGACATCCTACATACATACAGAGTGAAAGAAAGTAACATGCTGAAGCCTGCATTACTCCCGGGATAGACTTGTCCCATCTCAGTTCAGACGCAGAGCCTGCAACTGATTGCCTGTGCAGCAGCCGAGAGCAGCTGGCAGAGAGGAGCTCGCAACGTTGATGTGCACCTGTTGAGGTGCGCGGCGCTCGTCGTTTGAGGCATTTAACGTTGAGTGTCTTTTAATTGCCAGCTGTTGACAGGCAGAGAGAAGCAGGGGCAGAGGCAGGGGCCGACGCAGAGGCAGAGGCAGAGGCAGAGCTGCACCCTACACTCCCTTGGCACGCCTCCGCTGCCACCCTTTCTCTGTCGAGACTCAAGCATCGGGCCATGTGATTAATGAGCCATGGACTCGGAATATACCAGAGCAATTAGAATACAATTAGCAGCGCCACTAATGAGCAGCC